ACTACCATCCACTGGATGGATATGAGGTGCACAATAAACTAGCCACTACCATACACAGGATGGATATGAGGTGCACAACAAACTAGCCACTACTATCCACTGGATGGTATGAGGTGCACAACAAACTAGCCACTACCATCCACTGGATGGATATGAGGTGCACAACAAACTAGCCACTACCATCCACTGGATGGATATGAGGTGCACAACAAACTAGCCGCTTCGGCCTCAAAGTGAAAAAATCTCGTACTGGCAATGTTTGCGAATGACACACAGCTAATGAGGAGAATACAAAAGAGGGAAGACCCCATAAAACTACAGGACAACTTAAACAAAGAGGACGAAGACAGAGACAGAAAAGACAAGAAGACAGGAAATGGGAGGAAGAAAAACTGCCAACAACTGGTGAGGGCGTAGTGGCAACGAGTGAAGGAAGACCAGGAATGCTACAGAGAAAAGGAAAATGTTGAAGAAAGGAACTGGGAAAAAAATTAAGAAGGAGAGATGGAGAGGAAAAAAGGGAAGAGGCAAAGAGTGAGAGGGAGAATATGAGAGAAACAGTTTTGACCTTGACAACAGTGTTAAGACAGAGAGGAAGGGAGGGAGGGAGGGAAGAAAGAAAGGAGGGAGACAGGGAAGGAGGGAGGGAGGGAGAGAGAATCGTTGTCAGGAGGGAGCACATGAATGCAGCAAGCATGTCCGGTTTAGTTTCCCCCTAATCCCCATTTCTCCTCCACCATCCCTATTCCCCATCCCTACTCCAGCATCCCTCATCCCCATTCCACCATTTCCATTCCACCATCCTTATCCCCCATCCCCACTCTATCATCCCTATTCCATCATCCCCACTCCACTATCCCTATTCCACCAACCCTTCTCTACCATCCCCACTCAACCACCCCCTCTCCACCACTACCACCTTACTCCCCACTCCACCCCCTCTCACATCACGACCATGTCTGCCCTCTCAGCTCGTAGTCAGAACTACCAAGCTTCTCAAAGCTCAGCCCCTTCACTTCCTAAACTAGTTTTGTTGAGAATCTTTGCACTTTCTCTAGTTTCTGGATACGTTCCATTAGATATGGGCTCCATGCTGGTGCTGCAGCCCCTAAACAAACACCTGGGTGACTACGATTATGATGTTATTTGCATCGACTGCACACAGGTGACCAAGGTTCTTGATTGGGAGGCATTGGAGGTATTCTTCGCCATCCCTTGGATCAAACTTGATTTCCTTCTATTCCCCGGGCAGTGTACAATCCTCGCGGGTTTGACACTCTCCCGTGACATGTTGGACAGAGAGAGAGAGAGAGAGAGAGAGAGAGAGAGAGAGAGAGAGAGAGAGAGAGAGAGAGAGAGAGAGAGAGAGAGAACTAGGCTAGCGTGGGGTGGGTTCATCGGTTAAATAAACCAGTAAAACAGCCAGTTCAAAATACAGCCGGTATACTTCTGGCAAGGAAGCGGTCAAGATGAAGTCTGGCAACGTACAGATGTGACGGTTATCACTCTTGGTGCGAGAAGGTGATGTTGTTACACACTGTTGTGCCAAGGACCCTTATCTAGTCACCCAGCATCCTCTCGTAACGTTGTACGTTGTTATGATATCTCCCCCGCATCCGTCTGCAGATGTCTATTCTAATTCTAATTTAGATTTCGTGTTGCAACTCTAATTCTAATTATGGTCGACACAAAGGTGTTCTAACAGTCCAAAGTCAATATGTTAGATAATGTAGGGAGAATTTTGTAAGTGCTGCAGACCAGTGCCTGGTGATAGCTTGGTGTGGATAAGGAATCCTAGGGAAAGGAGGGGGAGAGAGAGAGACAGCGTGAAACAAGCTTTTATGCCACAAGACGGGCAGAAAGCAGTAACTTCACTCTGGCTGTACCCTTCTCCAGAACATCACTCCATCTGAGATCATATATACCCAGGATGACTCGAGTATGGAACACATTCGTACAGCATAATGATGTCAACGAGATAAAGTCAGTTGATCAAATGAAAATGTTGGCCCACAGATGGCTCCAATTTCATCCTGTTCCCTACTTGTATGTCTCATAACAAAAAAATGCTTTCAAATGAGCTGAGAGAGAGAGAGAGAGAGAGAGAGAGAGAGAGAGAGAGAGAGAGAGAGAGAGAGAGAGAGAGAGAGAGAGAGAGAGAGAGAGAGAGAGAGAGAGAGACAGGGACAGAGACAGGGGAGGAGGGTGGGTTGGTGTCTGGTAGTAACACGCAACTTTGTTCTCTCTCCAGCAACACCACTGTTATCTTCACGTTATTTCTGGCTACGTTACTTAATTAAATTTATCTACTTCAAGCATAACATGAAAAACTGGAACATCTAGTTCAGGGAGAACAGAAATATATCTTCCAAGTAACAGCAGCCACCCAGATAAATGTAATTATTATTTTTTTCAGTGGGAAGCTCCTAACCCTTAACATACACAGCCTATTGGAATGGGAGGCTGCAGTTCCTTGGATCAAAAGCACTTCACCGACATGAGGGAACTACAATGTTTTTTGTGTTACACAGACTTCATAATTAATGTCTTACAGATTTAACCTTACAAGTGATATTTATTGGACTAATTTTAACGAGTGTTTTATTTATGTAGTTAATTTACAAGGGACATTTAACAATCAACTTTAAGGGAGGTTGAGGATGGAGTGCGCTGAAGGTGGAGGATGGAGTGCGCTGAGGATGGAGGATGGAGTGCGCTCAAGGGCACTAAATCAAGAAGGGACCAAGAAGGGACTATGAAGGGACCATGAAGGGACCATGAAGGGACCATGAAGGGACCATGAAGTGACCATGAAGAAACCATGAAGGGACCATGAAGAAACCATGAAGGGACCATGAAGGGGCCATGAAGAAACCATGAAGGGACCATGAAGGGACCATGAAGAAACCATGAAGGGACCATGAAGGAGCCATGAAGAAACCATGAAGGGACCATGAAGAAACCATGAAGGGACCATAAAGGGACCATGGCAATGAGTCATGGGTCCCAGTGGATGTAAGTCACTTTTTTGGATTATCCCAGATATTTATACACGTTACAATATATAATAATTGTACCTACATGTACCTTTGCCTAAATAAAATTATTTAATCCTTCACCATAGTTCCATTGTTGTACTTCACTGGGTCTACATAATGTACCACTTGGTAAGACACATAGGCAACATTTAGGCACCTTTATTCCGAAACGTTTCGCCTACACAGTAGACTTGTATGTCTTCCTTACCAATTTGTCGGTATTATATACCATTTGATATTTAATGTACCACTGTTTGTCTACAATATCTGGGTCTCCACAACCATTCTACACAGTATACTATCCTTAAAACATTTGTAGAATTTCATAAAGTTGATCTCACTGTAGGTATATTTGTGTATACGTTACACTTGTCTTCACCCTTAGTGGTCCCTAACAGGTTGAACAGCTTGTCAGTCCCCGAAGATTTCGTCGAGCATCTTGTATGACGTGATCATGTCTCCCCTGAAAGTTCGTTGCTTCAGTGACTGTGGTTGTTTATTTACACGTTCTACTGTAGCTGATGCATCAGGGTGTGTGTAGTTACCAGTTGTTAAAGGCATATGTAGACAGACACTTGGTAGGCTCTGCATATTCACCTAATTGTGGGTGCAGGGGACGAGTCATAGCTCCTGGCCACGCCACTTCACTGGTTGCTACTAGGTCCACTCCCTACTTCATGAGCTTTACCATGCCACTTCTTAAAGCTATGTATGGTTTCTGCCTTTACTACATCACTCTCCAGACTGTTTCACTTCCTGACAACTCTATGACTGAAAAAGTACTTCCTAACATCCCTGTGACTCATCTGAATTTTATAATTGTGACCCCTTGTTGCTGTGTCACATCTCTTGAAACATTGTGTCCCTGTCCACCTTGTTAGTTCCTCTCAGTGTTTTATATGTTGTCCCCACTATCCCTCGTGTGTGTGTGTGTGTGTGTGTGTGTGTGTGTGTGTGTGTGTGTGTGTGTGTGTGTGTGTGTGTGTGTATGTGTGTATGTGTGTGTGTGTGTGTGTGTATGTGTGTATGTGTGTGTGTGTGTGTGTATGTATGTATGTATGTATGTATGTATGTATGTATGTATGTGTGTGTGTGTGTGTGTGTGTGTGTGTGTGTGTGTGTGTGTGTGTACTCACCTAATTGTGGTTGCAGGGGTCGAGACTCAGCTCCTGGCCCCGTGTCCTGTGTGTGTGTGTGTGTGTGTGTGTGTGTGTGTGTGTGTGTGTGTGTGTATGTGTGTGTATGTGTGTGTGTATTGTGTGTGTGTATGTGTGTGTGTGTGTGTGTGTGTGTGTGTGTGTGTGTGTGTGTGTGTGTGTGTGTGTGTGTGTGTGTGTGTGTGTGTGTGTGTGTGTACTCACCTAATTGTGGTTGCAGGGGTCGAGACTCAGCTCCTGGCCCCGTGTCCTGTGTGTGTGTGTGTGTGTGTGTGTGTGTGTGTGTGTGTGTGTGTGTGTGTGTGTGTGTGTGTGTGTGTGTGTGTGTGTGTGTGCGCGTGCGTGTGTGTCCACTCACTGTTAACATCTGTTAATATCTAAAACACGAGATTAATTTCTTGATTAAAGCTGAATCACAACATTCGACACACCACTTGCAGCTCGCCGGAAAAACTCAACATTTCATCCCCCTTACATAGTTTTTAACATGTTTTCGAACAGAGTGCGGAAAAGTTGGCGAATTTTCTCAATGAACATCGCTCAAAGCTCGCCGACCAAGGTCAGAAAAATCCACAAATGACAGGTTAGACACGACGTGAAAAACACAAATAAAGTGAAATTGCCACTAGCTGCTGGAGAATGTTAAAGTAGTGACACTGGCGAATACTGTCAGGAAATCATTGCGGGATCCGATAACAGTATCATAGTTAAGACACGAGGCGGCATCTTGTAGCAGCCACGAGACATGAGTGGGCGTGGTGTGTTTACCATCCGAAAATTTGTCCTATCTTATCCTCTAACTCACCTCTATCCTCCAGATCTGCAGTCCTTCCTGGGTGCCGGCTCCCTCGAAGGCTGGGTCCATGGCTGTGAGGTTGGTGGATGAGAGAGAGAGAGGGTGAGATAGAGAGAGCGTCACACACACACACACAACACAAGCTGGGTGCTGGCTGAGGGCGCAGACGCCACCACGTAACCCACACTGACACAACCATGCCACACACCTCAATTCACAACCATCAACCAACACACACCTACAATATTTACTCATCTTCCTGCCGGTAATACATTCCTGCAAGCACAGTGCCTGGGCCTGTCAGCCTTGTATGGTAAACAAACACTCCGTGTCCGTGTTTGTCCATCTTGTGTTTTTATTTATGAATCAGCGTGGGTTGGTTGACAGGTGCCTCCAGCCGCTACCTCCCACTGAAGACCAATATACCGCTTGGTAAACATTTACTGTGTTTGCTCATGCACAGCCTAAACATCGTGCTGAAAGCATTCCACAGCAGATTTTACGTATGTTTTTAAAGACGATGTTGTGCATTAAATACACGAGAAACACTGCCCATTTGGTACTAAAATAAACATGACTAAGTCTATTAAAATTCAAACAACGAATGTGCTTCGCTTTAATTGTTTATATTTTTATGTAAACGTAAGTTGCAAATATCAATCACACATCCTTGCCACTACACAGAGCAGCAACTCGGGGAAAATCATTCAAATTTACACATAGCTACACCCTTTGCTTCCATTTTCCCCCTAATATTAGTCTAAACAATATTACAAAAGTAATACATGTCTCGTCTGGATATGCAAATACAAATGAATATGTATATGCCTGTGTGCGCTCGCGGGGACATACAAACGTGTGTTTTCGTAAGTGCTTATAAGTAATGAAAGCATTGATATCAAGGACACATGGAAATAAGCCACTTTGCTTGACTTTATTACGCTATCATGGTTTAAAATCTCCATAATTTACTAAGTAACGCTATTATAAAACATTTAAACTATATACGTATAAGGCCATAAAATGTTTTACTAATATGATTATGTAGAGAGAGAGAGAGAGAGAGAGAGAGAGAGAGAGAGAGAGAGAGAGAGAGAGAGAGAGAGAGAGAGAGAGAGAGAGAGAGAGAGGCAGGTCAAAAGCAGGAACTGATAACGTTGGCGATTAATTAGATCTCAGTAATACCTGTGTTATGGAAGACCAGGTGCGCTTTGATATGTCTTGCTCTTAATAAGCAATCTCATCAATAATACATCTGTGTAATTGTGTATTATTATTATTGAAAGCGCTAAACCCCCAGGGCTCATACAGCGCCTGGGAAGGATAGTTTCAGTTCATTGGACTACTAGTCCTCCCCAGCATGAATTATTATAATATACAGAACAGAATACTGTAGTGAAATGTTATCATCCAAATTTCTTTTTCACTCTCTCTCCCTCTCTTTCCTTCGTGTACAGCTAGGTACATTAAGACATTCAAATTCCTCTTACCTCACCTCCCACTTTCTTCTGTCTCCCATTTATAATTTCTCTTCCTTCATCCCCCCACCCACATCCGCTCTAGGACGGCGGAGACGTCTTCAATTCCACTTCGTCTACAAATTCCATTTCTCCTTCGTATGGGATAGGCTATCCTTAGAGATGGTAATTCCCAAGTGATAGATAGTAACTTCAGCTCTGCTGGAAGGAAATCTTTGAAGCTGCAGTAGCTGACGAACCTTGAATGGAATACTAGATGATATCCTCATTGCCCGCCTCCGGAAGTTTCCCGGCTCAGGCTGACAAATTCCAACACCTTGTACGAGCACCAGCCTGCGTGGTGGAATGTGACAGGAAAACATAACTAGTTTTTATTCCCACTGTGTACATATTAACACAATAGGGTACCAGCACTCTGCTGATATATCCATTTTTTATATAATCGTGTGGGCGATAGTGGAAAGGAATGGATTGGACCACAATGGGACACCATATCAGGTTCTACTGTGTATAGCTGCAGTGGTCACAATGGGACCTTACATACCCCACTGTATATAATCACGAGTCACAATGGGAGCTAATATTAGACCTCACTGTGTATAATAGCATGTACAAAATAATATTATTTAAATTTTAAATTCATTTCACATACTGTGATATCTTGAGACTACCTCTCCAATATTATGTCTGCGAGAAATGGAAGAACAGAGGTAACACCAGATGTCTTTTTTTTATCTGTTAGTGAAGACAGGAGTGTTGGCTGGTAATCTTTCACACCCTGGTTCCATCAGTGGACTCCAGATCCAGTGATGAAGGTCCCACGGGAGCTGACCTCTAATCAGAAATTATGGGAGGTGTGTGGATGCTTTTATTAACTCAGGGGAAGTAGATAAGAGAGGACTTTGGGAAGAGGAACTCTTCCTGGGTGCAGAGTTAGGGCTCTGAGAGGAATTGGTGGCCCAACACTGTCGATGGACGGAGCTGAAGGCGCTGGTCTGCTAGAAGTGATCTGTTGAAAGGATTCTATACTGTATATGTATATTTAGTTTCATCAGCTAATTCTATTCCCGTGTCAATTATCTTGTATCATCCTCAGTTATCTTAATATCGGACCCCTTTCTCTTTGACCAATTGTATTGTAATAAGTATTAATAAAATGTAATTAAGTGGAATAATGTATTTCCTCAATCAGTCTTTAATTTGTTACCCTGTATAAGACTGATTTGTGAGTAAAAGATAAGTGGAATTGGGAGTCTAGTCTGCAGTGGTTGTAGTGAGGTGAGATTGTGTCCGCGCTGCAATATTGATCATAAACCACCCATGTATGACAATATTGCAGCCTCGTACAATAGTTATATGATGCAGCATATGGTGTTATCTCAGGATTTTAGATATATTATCATTAACACTGGAAAGAAGCCGGGTCAAGTGGCTTTCTAGGGTTATCCAAATAAAATCTTCATGCACTTATCACGTAGTAGTTAATCTAACAGGCTGATACACTGTTGGCTGGTAATCTTTCACACCCTGGTTCCATCAGTGGACTCCAGATCCAGTGATGAAGGTCCCACGGGAGCTGACCTCTAATCAGAAATTATGGGAGGTGTGTGGATGCTTTTATTAACTCAGGGGAAGTAGATAAGAGAGGACTTTGGGAAGAGGAACTCTTCCTGGGTGCAGAGTTAGGGCTCTGAGAGGAATTGGTGGCCCAACACTGTCGATGGACGGAGCTGAAGGCGCTGGTCTGCTAGAAGTGAAACTGTGAAAGGATTCTATACTGTATATGTATATTTAGTTTCATCAGCTAATTCTATTCCCGTGTCAATTATCTTGTATCATCCTCAGTTATCTTAATATCGGACCCCTTTCTCTTTGACCAATTGTATTGTAATAAGTATTAATAAAATGTAATTAAGTGGAATAATGTATTTCCTCAATCAGTCTTTAATTTGTTACCCTGTATAAGACTGATTTGTGAGTAAAAGATAAGTGGAATTGGGAGTCTAGTCTGCAGTGGTTGTAGTGAGGTGAGATTGTGTCCGCGCTGCAATATTGATCATAAACCACCCATGTATGACAATATTGCAGCCTCGTACAATAGTTATATGATGCAGCATATGGTGTTATCTCAGGATTTTAGATATATTATCATTAACACTGGAAAGAAGCCGGGTCAAGTGGCTTTCTAGGGTTATCCAAATAAAATCTTCATGCACTTATCACGTAGTAGTTAATCTAACAGGCTGATACACTGTGTGGTTTTTATATCATAAGGTTTCAGATATATTTTATGATAAACAATGAAGTAATTTGCCATTGTCGGCTGTGTTTGTGCGCAGACCACTAAATGATTAGATTTTTGAACAATCGATGTGTAGGGCCTAGTTCTACACAACTTTATAATATAAATTATCTCTCCATATAAACTTGAGCTGCTAGGAGAGACTTACAGCCTAGCTTTATCCTAGCTTTATCCTAGCAGTGACAACTCCCTAGTGTTTCCGTCACGTTTCTGTGCTCTCAAGGAGAGTGCCAGTGATGCCGATGTAGAGCTCTTGATCCAGTGAATTGAAGCTGCCCTCCATTTTCTTCTATCAGATTTGATTGACCCCCATTCTCATTCCTTCAAATGATGTTATGCCCCCACGGGTTTAGCGCTTTTCAATAATACTACTACTACTACTACTACTACTACTACTAATAATAATAATAATAATAATAATAATAATAATAATAATAATAATAATAATAATAATAATATTATTATTATTATTATTATTATTATTATTTTTTTTATTATTATCACACTGGCCGATTCCCACCAAGGCAGGGTGGCCCGAAAAAGAAAAACTTTCCACCATCATTCACTCCATCACTGTCTTGCCAGAAGGGTGCTTTACACTACAGTTTTTAAACTGCAACATTAACACCCTCCTTCAGGAGTGCAGGCACTGTACTTCCCATCTCCAGGATTCAAGTCCGGCCTGCCGGTTTCCCTGAACCCCTTCATAAACGTTACTTTGCTCACACTCCAACAGCACGTCAAGTATTAAAAACCATTTGTCTCCATTCACTCCTATCAAACACGCTCACGCATGCCAGCTGGAAGTCCAAGCCCCTAGCACACAAAACCTTCTTACCCCCTCCCTCCAACCTTTCCTAGGCCGACCCATACCCCGCCTTCCTTCCACTACAGACTGATACACTCTTGAAGTTATTCTGTTTCGCTCCATTCTCTCCACATGTCCGAACCACCTCAACAACCCTTCCTCAGCCCTCTGGACAACAGTTTTGGTAATCCCGCACCTCCTCCTAACTTCCAAACTACGAATTCTCTGCATTATATTCACACCACACATTGCTCTCAGACATGACATCTCCACTGCCTCCAGCCTTCTCCTCGCTGCATCATTCATCACCCATGCTTCACACCCATATAAGAGCGTTGGTAAAACTATACTCTCATACATTCCCCTCTTTGCCTCCAAGGACAAGTTCTTTGTCTCCACAGACTCCTAAGTGCACCACTCACCCTTTTCCCCTCATCAATTCTATGATTCACCTCATCTTTCATAGACCCATCCGCTGACATGTCCACTCCCAAATATCTGAATACATTCACCTCCTCCATACTATCTCCCTCCAATCTGATATCCAATCTTTCATCACCTAATCTTTTTGTTATCCTCATAACCTT